GTCAGATGCTGGGATTACAAGGCGAATAAGAAATCATCCCTGCTGGGGGCGCCTGGGTGGCTCAGTTGGTTAAGCGACTGCCTTCAGCTCAGGTCATGATCCTGGAGTCCCAGGATGGAGTCCTGGGATCGAGTCCCGCATCGGGCTCCCTGCTCGGCAGGGAGTCTGCTTCTCCCTCTGACCCTCTCATGCTCTATCTCATTCTCTGTCTCAAATAAATAAATAAAATCTTTAAAAAAAAAAAAGAAAGAAAGAAATCATCCCTGCTGTCCTACACCGAAGAGGCTGGGCGGGAACCTAGATAACTGAAGTACAATGCTAGACGCACCGAGAGAGAGGTGAGAAGAGTGGCCCAGGAAAAGCCAAGGGAAATCTGAAGGAAGTACCCCCTGAACCAGCCTTGGACCCGGTGGGGCGCTCTGGGCAGGAGATCAGCATGTACCAGCTCACAGGGGCATGAGAAATCACAGGTTTGGTATCTTCACAGGGAGCGTCTTCGCTGCAAGTGTTTTCACCACATAACTACTTGCTGTAAAGCCATTTGGCCGTCAAAGATAAAATCACAGGGGCGCCTGGGTGGCTCAGTTGGTTAAGCGACTGCTTTCGGCTCAGGTCATGATCCTGGAGTCCCTGGATCGAGTCCCGCATCGGGCTCCCTGCTCGGCAGGGAGCCTGCTTCTCCCTCTGACCCTCCCCCCCTCATGTGCTCTCTCTCTCTCATTCTCTCTGTCTCAAATAAATAAATAAAATCTTTAAAAAAAAAAAAGATAAAATCACAAAATATAAAAGAGGGACATTCATTAAAGAGGACATAATAAAACATGAGAAATGAATAACACAATTAGAAAGCTATTGTAAAACACAAAATAATTGAGTACATTTCAAATGTGTGGAGATTCATGGCAATTCTATGCAAATAACTGATTATATTTCATGGATTGTACCTAAGCACTTGTCTCCAAAGTCTCTCATTCATAGAATTATACATTTTTTTTTCTTTTTGCTTGCTGATGGGTCTCCTCATTCTTTTTTTTTTTTTAAAGATTTTATTTATTTATTTGAGAGAGAGAATGAGAGAGAGAGAGCATGAAAGGGAGGAGGGTCAGAGGGAGAAGCAGACTCCCTGCTGAGCAGGGAGCCAGATGCGGGACTCGATCCAGGGACTCCAGGATCATGACCCGAGCCGAAGGCAGTCGCTCAACCAACTGAGCCACCCAGGCGCCCTGCTCATTCTTTTTTTACTGAAGTTTCTTCCTCATGAAGAGAGGTGGAGTTCAAGGGGGCCTGGCTGGCTCAGGCAGTGGAGCTTGTGACTCTTGATCTCAGGGTCATGTTAGGTGTAGAGATGACTTAAAAATAAAATCTTAAAAATATATAAATAAATAAAATAAAAATAAAAGAGAGGTATAGTTTCCAAATACTAGGATGCATATTTGTAACAGAACTTTGTACTACATCGTGAAGACATACTGCCTCCTACGCTGTTGTTTGTTCTTGGCGTATTTTAACAGGTCCATTGATAGCTGTTCCTAGTTCTATGGGAAATGTGGGTTCAAAACTCTGCACCACTGTATAGAGCATCATGAGGGCTAAGATTTCTATAATATAAAAGTGAAGCACACGTCAATGGAGAAATGAAACCACACTCAACCAGTTGATAAAAGCAACAAACTGTCAACCGGTTATTTAAACTTTCATGGCAAAATTGCCTTATGGCCTATTAGTTATGCAGTGAAAATGCTTACAGCAAAGATGTTCAGGGCAAAACTACCTAGAACCAAGAAATCAATGCATTCTGGGCATGTGCAGCTACAGGAACGAGACTTGGGGCCAGAGGGGGCAGGCAGGCTGGGTAGGAGGTGCCACAAACAGTGGGCCTTGCCTGGGGTGCTGACAAGCTGGACCGGCCTGAGGGTATTTGGGGGGGGTGGTGACAGGATGACACCTGAGCTTTAGAAAGATCACTATGGGCTGGAGAGAGAGAAACAGGAGGCCTGTAAACATCCTGGACCATGGTTCAGGTGAAAGCCCAGGAGGCCTGTGGTAGGGCAGTCACGGAGGGACTGGGGGAAGGGGTAGACTTGAGTGGATGAGAAAGGACTTGTTTTCTGGGTGATGAAAATGTTCTGGAACTAGACAGTGGAGATGTTTGCACACCATTATGAATATACTGTAATTAGTAGCAAAATTTGATGTATGTATTTCACGACAATAAAGAAAAGACTTGTGTGCTTGGATATGGGGGTTGAGGCAAAGAGTGGAAGTTTCCTGGGTTACGTACCCAGGAGGGTCTGGGTGCTGCCGACCGAAGTAGAGAACATCAGAAAAAGATAAAGGACGGGGACAAAGTCCCGATGGTGCCGCTGGGTTTGAGGGGCCCAAGGGACGGCTAGGAGATGTCAGCCATTGGCTCCCCTGTGAAGCCTGACACTCAAGGGAGAGAACCAGGGCAGGTATGTGGAGGCATAGAGGAGTGTGTTGAACTCCAGAGGGGTTAAGACCATGGAGCCTGAAGAGACCAGGGAATGGGGTTCAGACCCTGGGAAAGTTCAAGTCTCCCCTGGGAGAACGGGAAGAAGGTTCGTCAGAGGGGTAGGAGAACACCAAGGAAGAGAGTCTAGAAGATCAAGGAAGGAGGCTTTGTGCAGAGGCAGCACAGGGGTCCGAAAGCTAAGGGCTGGGAGTGTTCGTGGCATTTGTTATTACAAGGTCCTTGATGACCCCTCAGCAAGAGGATTCCAATGGCAGAGAGGTGTGGGGGCTAAGGACTAAGGCCAGAGTAAGTGAGGGCAGACTGAGAGCTGGGGAAGCAGAGACAGCAACCATAAACCAGCCTTGAGAGAAGTTTGAGGAAGGGAGTGGATACATAGGGGGACACAAGATAATGGAGGGAGGTGGGTTGTTGTGATTTTTCTTTTTCCTAAAAGAACAAGAGCTACCAATTGTGTTTGTAGACTGAGGAGAAAGAGCCAGAAGGGGGCGGGGGATAGAGATACTAAGAGTGGGGTAGGGGCTGAATAAATAATAGAGCGAGATGGGGTGGGAGTGCTGTTGAGTGATGGGCTGCCCCCCCACCTCCCCATCAGCCACGAGGGCTGACATCGCTGAAGCTGGGAGGGAAGCCGGGAGGATGGGTGGGAAGGCAGATAAGCCTGTAGCTGGGGCAGGGCGGGAAGTAGAGGGAGTTCCCTCCAGACAGCAGTGTTTTCTAGGTGAAGATGAAGTTGAGGTCATCTCCTGAGGCAGTAGGGCTAGGGTGGGGTGGGAGAGCCTGGGATAAAAGGAAGAGAAAAGGGCCAAGGCTGACCAAGGACCTCAACCACAGAGCCGGCAATGTGGAGCAAGACGGTGGGGTCGTGCACATCAAACGTGTCATCAGCATGGTCGTGGGTGACCACAGGAATGGGAGACCTTGTCCTGGCCCCCACACTGCTAACACCCAGTTGACCACACACAAATACCTCATGGCTTCTGCGCCTCAGGTTCCTCAAGTGTAAAACAAGGTGGAGGCCTGAGGCCTGAGGAAGCAGTGGGAGAGTCTCCCTGCTCCAATGCTCCAAGTCCTGCAGTTCTGAGCCTGAACATACAAAGGCCTTTCTCCAGAAACCCTGGGAAGGGAGCCATTTACTTCCATGTGAGGTGGGGAAGGTGGGAGAGACTGGAGGTCCTGGGAAGCAGGCTGTGTGTTTGCAGGGCATGGTGTGGATGAGAGTGGGGTATGTGGGCAGCAGTGGACAGACGGGGCAGGGGGCGGGGGTTGGCACGCAGGGGCCATGATTGTGGAGGGCTAGGACCAGATGGTAAACTATCCTTAGTCATTGCATGCCGTGGTGGGTGAGCCACCTCCTCTTATCTCATCTTATCCTCAGACTGACTCTATGGGATCAGTTCTCTTATCATCCCCATTTTACAGACTGGGAAAAAGGCTCAAAGAGGCCAGGTGAAAGCAGCTTTAAAGATCTGAGTTTGGACTTCTGGCCTCAGACAGAGAGCCATCGTTCAGACAGCAGAGGTTCTAGTGCTGATGCCCTGCTAACTGGCTCTCACTTGGTCCAGTCGGTTATTTTTCTGAGGCAGAGACATCTTGTTAGGATGGCGGGAAGATAACAGATATCCTGCCTCCACTGCTTACTGTGGGGGTCAAATGCCCGCCAAAGCACATGGACGCTGGGGCAGGAGACCCGCAGACTGGCTTTCCTAGTAGCCACGCTAGCCTTCCCAATCCTGGAGCCACTGCTCAAAGCCTGGGCTCAGCAAACCAGCATCATCCACGTACATCATCTCCAAAGAGCTGTACAACTGTCCGCAAGCTGGCCACCCCCCTTCTTTTGCGGAGTGAAGTGACCTTTGATGAGGGGATCCTGTTCTGTGGGCTCTCCCCCATTTAGCCTCCAGACGCAGCCGAGCATCTTATCTTAAAGATTCAAAACTAGCTCCAAAGGGGATGATAAACCAAACTTTAAAGATAGGCAAAGCCCCCTTCCTGTGCACAGCGCAAAATATTACAGATAGAATCATAGCTCCGCAGGTCAATGGGAAAGGAAATCCAATGTCCGTTTTAGATCACTTAGAAGACAAAATCATAACAACCATTTAAATTATGGTCTGTCCTCATGAATCTAACAAATTAATTACATCTCATTTGTGATTAAAAAACAATGGGGGATGGGGAGACTATGAAAATAAGAAATTTATGGTAAAACAACAAAAAATAAAATATGGAGCCACTCCTTTTTTTATCAGCTTCCAATCCAAGCAAATAGCAATTCACTAGTTTTTAGAAAAAAATGTATGCGACTTCTAGAACATGCTGTTTAGAACTTGGCTTAGAACAAGTGTTTTATTCTAAAAGCCTTCTAAAAATGCCAGAAGGGAATAAACGTTAGCTCTCAATTGGAATATTTTTCTCAGTTGTCATAAACATTAAACCCAAGCAATCTGATGTGAGTTTTAAGAATCATGAAAAGACACGGCGAAGCTAGGTAAAATTGGTAACTTACAGTTTTCCTGTCCCTCAAGGCTTGGACCTGGAAAAGACAGAAGAAATACGTTGATTCCATTAGCTTCGATTCTCATGACGTTTAAGTAATGTGGGAAGAGAATAAAAACTCACAAAGCAGAAGCATCAGCAGAAGTCCTAGCCACATCTTGCCTTCTTGGGCCCACTCCAGCTGCATCTTGAGCGCCAAGACTTCGGGGCACTTAGTTCTGCCTTTGGGCCATGCCCCTGGGGCAGAAGACGCTGCCCCTGTGGCCCAGATAAATCTGCCCTGTGAAAGTAGAGAAACCACTCTGGTAACTTCTGGCGCCACAGAGAGACGGGCTATACTGCTGGTCAAGTAATGGCAGCCATTGCTGGAAACTGGAAACAATGAAGCATGGGCCAGCCTGATATCTCCTCAGGAAATGACTGGCTTTCCTGAGGGGCCACTGAACGCAGACTCTTTGTTTTAAAGGCACAAGTGACATTTGCCTCTAGGGCCCCTGACCCTCCTGTCTCACCTGGGTTTGGTGCCCCTTATCATGGCAGGGTGAGAGGGTTCTTCCCTCTTTCCAACCTCTACCCAAAGGGCTTCTCTCTTTGGACACCCAACAAGATGTCTCAATTTTTCCTGAGCGCATCACCCCCACTCCCCGCTGCCCAGGGGCCTCTCTCCACACAGCGTAAGTCTGGACCTCCTGTCTTTCCTGGCAATGCTACGGGACAGGGCTGACTTCTCCAGAAAATTGCAGGTTCGTCAGACAGACCGGCTGCCTTGGGGTAAACTCAGCTTGGAACCTGCTGTTCCTAGGAGGCTGTCCCTGGCTTCTGCAGTTGGTTTCAGGGTGGATAAAGGCAACTCTGTGAGATATGCATGTTTTCTGGTGGTCCCCTCCAGCCTGTACCTTTATTTTATTTTATTTTATTTTATTTTTTAAGTATGCTCCATGCTCGGTGTGGGGCTTGAACTCACGACCCTGGGATCAAGAGTCGCATGCTCTACGGACTGAGCCAACCAGGCAGCCCCAGCCTCTACCTTTAAATATACACAGAGTATATCAGGCCACAGGGAGCTTTCTGAGATATAAATCAGTTCCTTTCACTCCCTGGCTTGAAACCTTGTGATGGCTCCCCACTGTCCTCCACAGAAAGTCAGTTTACAATCCTCCACAATCCAGCCCTTGCTTACCTTTCCAGCCAGATCTCTCACCAATTCTTTCCTGGCCCCTACATGCTGATTGCTAGGATTTATAGTTCCCAGGACACATCACGTGTCTACGCCTTTGTCTATGTTGTTCCCCTGCCTGGAGGACTCTTCCCCTCTCCTTTTCTGGCCTATTCCTACCCATGCATCGTAACTCAGTTTAGGCATCCACTCTTCCAGAATTCTCTCCTGTCTCCCCACACTGAGCTGCCCTTCCTCTGCATCCCCCTCTGCATTCCTCACCTCCCTAGCCTTCCTTCTGTGAGACACTTTCTATGGTCTGTCCTCCCCCAAGTGGACTGCTGGCTGCATGGTAACAGGGACAGTGCCTGGTACCTAGTAGGTGGTCAAAAAACATTGGTAGAGGGGCGCCTGGGTGGCTCAGTGGGTTAAACAACCAACTCTAGAGTTCAGCTCAGGTCACGGTCTCAGGATCATGAGATCGAACCCCTGCATCTGCTCGAGCGGGAGCCGGCTGTAGGGTCTGCTTGGGATTCTCTCTCTCCCTCTGCCCCTCCCCCCACCTGGAGAGTCCCCACCCTCTCTCTCTCTCGGATGATTGGGTGAATGAAGATAAGTTAACAGTATTGTCTGAATTAGATTATTACTGCCTTGAGGTCAGAGAGCCGTGTTGTTTCTGAAACGCTACCCTCTGATACGGCCATGGGTAAAGCTAAGTCAGATTGGAACCGGGACAAATAGAAACCAGACTTCTCTGCCCTAGGGCAAATACCAAGAAGTGATGGCTTCCAACTAGCGAACAACTCCTCTCTCTGATCTATGGTTCAGTGGAAGTTATGACAAGAGCTATTGAAGAGCCATGCAGCATAAAAGAACATTTTCTATTGTGTCATTTACTTTTGGTGTTTGGTATTCTCTGTTGCCCACTGTAAACTCTCTCCTTTAGCAACCTACCGGAAATCACCCCCACCCACCCACCAAATTTCTATTTGTCGAGAAAAAAGGAATACCATGAGGCCCTAAATAGATGTTGGCTTCAAAGATAACTTTCACCTACAGCAGACTAACCAACTTTTGCTTCTCAAAGTGACGTTCAAGCAATGGTGGTAAATGCCCCACCCGATGCCCCCAAGTCCCAAAGTAAACTTCTAGGACTTAGTCATTGTTTCTTATACAATGCTAATCGTTTTACAACACCATGAGAAAAAACTTCATTTCAAAATAAGTGTTAATATTTCAAAAGAAAAGCAGAAAAAAACTGTATCCCACCACTCACACCATGCACCAGGATAAATTCCAAAGGGACCAACCATCTGAAAGGACAAATGAAGCCATAGGAGTTCTATAAGAAAACGTGAAGGAATTCCTCATGACCCTGGAATGGCGAAGCCTGGTTTAACTCTGACTTAAAATCCAGAAATTATAAAAGACTGACAAATTATACTCCATGTAAAAAGAGTTCTCCCCTCCCCCCCAAAAAAAGTTCAGTCAAGAGAAAAAAATACAAACTGGAAAAAATATTTGCAATTTCTATAAGACAAAGAGCTAACCTCTCTAACATGTAAATTAATATGTAACCTCTCTAATATCCATCCCACAGCCACCATCCCTCATTGCAAACACTTACCTGCTTTCTCTCCTTATAGTTAAGTTTGCATTCCTAGAATTTTATAAAAACGGAATTATACAGTACATACTTTGGGGGGGGGGCATCTATCTTCTTTCAATCAGCGTCATCAATTATTAATTTTTTATTGTTGAGTATGAGTGAATATATCACAGTTTGCTTATCATTATTTATTAATGAACATTTGAGTTGTTTCCAATTTTGAGCTCATAGAGAGAGCTGCTATGACCATGCCTTTGTATGGACGTCCACTTTCATTTCTCCTGGGTAAATAATGGTATGGTAGGTGTATGTCTAACATTTCAAGAAACTGCCAAACTGTTTTCCAAAGCATCTTACACTCCCGCCAACGATGTCTAAGAGTTCCGGTGGCTCCACACATTACCAGCTCGGGTGCTGGGGCTCTCCAAGCAACAGAGAGCCCAAACTGGAAGTTCCAGACAAGGCTTTTACTGGGCTTATGTTAGAGCTCCAGGGAGACAACACAAAGGGAAGGGTCCCTCCTGCTGGCTCTCTGAGCAAAGGCCAGGGAAAGATTGTCAAGAGGCTGAGGCAGGAAAGGAGTGGCTGGAACAGGTAAAGGGGGGCGGGGTGGAGATGCAGGAACTGGGGAGCACAGGCACTGGACAGGACGTGCTTTGTCATGCACCACTCGTCTGGTTGGCATGTTAAACCTCCACCCAGGGCGTGATTTTTAGTCCTGTGATGAGGGGGAAAGTCGGTGAAAGGTCAGTGTTGGGGCCCTCCTGAGCGCAGACTGGTTTGGTTCAGTCTTCACCAGTCTTGGTAGTGGAGTCCTCCTCCTGTGAACAGCCTGCATCCATGTTCCTGCAGGATTCGCACAGGGATTCAGCCATCAAGGGGCCCTGGAGGGACGCATGGGTGGCTCAGTGGGTTAAGCGTCTACCTTCAGCTCAGGTCATGATCCCGGGGTCCTGGGATGGAGACCCTAGTGGGACTCCCTGCTCAGCGGGGAGCCTGCTTCTCCCTCTGCCCCTCCCCCTGCTCCTGCTCTCTCTCTCTCTCTCTCTCTGACAAATAAATAAAATCTTAAAAAAATAAACAAAAAAAGGAACGCTGGACTTTTGGGGTCTGGGTTGAGGGCTCGGAGTCCTGTCCCTTGGTCTGTCTCAATTTGAGCTATTCTAGGCCCCTTGACCTTCCCTTATGAATTTTAAAATCAATTTCTCAATTTCTACCAAAAAAAAAAAAAAAGCCTTCTGAGATTTTGACTGGAGTTGCACTGAATCTGCAAACCAGTTTGGGGAGAAGTGACATTTTAACTCGACCGAGAGTATTCCGGCCCAGTGACACAGCATGTCTCTCCATAAACAACAATGTTGTATAGTTTTAGTGTACTTTTCCTTAGAAACCTTGTGTCTCTTTTAGTTTTTTTAAGTCATGTTAACGTACTACCTATTAAAAATCAAATTAGGAAATTAAATTCTAAAATAAAAGCTGTGCCTCGGGTGTTAGAAATCATTCGGAATGTCTGTTGTGTCCACCCCACGGCCCGGGAGCCAAGTCCACACGAGGCTGATCCTTCACGGGAGAGCCCCACCCCACCCCCCATGGGTCTATCTTCCTCTCTCTTTCTGCGGGAACCCCTCTTTCTAGCTCTCAAGGCAATCTCTCCCTCCTCTCTTGCCCCTGGCTGTGATGTAAGAACAGAAATGTATATCCTCCCTCATTTATTTTATTCATTGAAAAGATGATCAGGCTCCTTACCCTTTGTGAAGTATGAATGTCTTAATAAAAATTAAAAATGTATAAACAGAAGGTTTTCTAATTCACTTTTTTAATAAAAGTCATAAATTGAGTGGCTTTTTATATGTGTGTGGCCCTCACATAGCTCTCCCCTTCCTGCCCTTTGTCCTTAGTGGACTCCTTAATAGAAAAAAAAAGAAGGGCGCCTGGGTGGCTCAGATGGTTGGGCATCTGCCTTCGGCTCGGGTCATGATCTCAGGGTCCTGGGATCGAGTCCCGCATCGGGCTCCCTGCTCCTTGGGAGCCTGCTTCTCCCTCTGCCTCTCTCTCTCTGTCTCTAATGAATAAATAAATAAAATCTTTAAAAAAAAAAAAAGAAAGAAAGAAAGAAGTTCTTCAAATGATTTTGCTCCCTTCTTCCTATTCTTGGTGAGAGGGAATTGAAGGAGAACAGAGCAGTTTCTGCATGCTGTCTTCTGCCTTCCAACACCAGGGAAGTCACACAAATCTGGAACACAGCAATTCATTAACCGCAGGAAGAAACTGCTGTAATAAACCTCAGGAAGTGCTTTTTCTGAGAAACCAGGGGTGGGGTCGGGAAAGAGTTGGGGAGGAGGCAGCAGGTCCGAGAGCTACAGCACCCGGCAGGGCTGACCACCCATCTCTTTCATGACCACGGTGACAGGCAAGAAGGTACTGACCATTCCCCCAGCCGGTGGCTACAGCTCTGCCTCAGGAACCTCGGTGAGTCCAGGAGCAGGACTAAGCCCCCATTCGCTGAATTTGGAAG